AACACTAACTCTATCTATATTTTCAGTTCTCTTGTTCTTCCTTTTTTGGTTGTTCCATTTCATTACATTGTATCTATCATTGTCAACTAAGGGGGATCATTCCACTTTTAGAAATTCAGTACCACCAATCACTAGTCAAAAGGTCTCCCTGTCTCCTCCTTCAAGACTAGTAGTCGGTAGATCTTATCACTCTTGTACATTCTTCGAATACATGTATTGCATGATCTGCAAATCATCATACTGCATTTTATTTGAATGTGGATCGCATCATTTTGAAGTGCAACTCGATTAACCAAACGCTCGCACATGAAATTGCCACATATGCAGACAGCAAATGAATACTTTGCGCGAAGACTTTGTTAACGTTTTGATGACGCTTAACGATGGTATATTGAAAGTAAAAGTATTGCCACATATGCATACTTTGTTAAACTGAAATAAAAGTAGAGGTGATGAATCGACATCCAACATAATTTTATTTCTTTGATAACACCCATAATATGAATTTGCAAATATCGCTAACGTCAAAGTTTGCAAACTTACAAAAGCTGGTAACATGAAACTAATACTAAATGGGACGTAAGTAATGAATGAAAGAAAGCCGACAGAACAGGCAATTTGTGTCTTACATGTGTTCGAAGAATGTATCTGATTGTTACGACACATTCTTCGAACACAGGTAACACACAAATTGCCTGACCTTCGAATCGCATGCTGCATCAATATGTGAATGCGAATGATATAACTTTGAAAAACAGTTCGATTGGAAAAAACATGCTCGCGTATGAAATTGCCACGTACACAGATAGCGGATTAATACTCTGTCGAAAAAGGTTGTTAGGGATTTTGATCACGTCGAACGATTCAGCAATACCGATGACGTTGATTCGTTTAACGATAGTGCACCCCGAAGAGAAGTGTTGGCGATGAGTCGACATCAAACATGAATTAATTTATTCGATAACACCACGACATAAATTTGCAGCCAGCAAGCATTGGCAATATAAAGATAAAACTAAACGAAACGTAAATGACGAACGAAGCAAAAGCGCTTCGTAACCATGACTGTACCGCCGTGCAAAGACTCAACACTGTGTGCATTCTTAGGTAGCATTCAGAATTGATCATGAACAGGTCGCTTTGTCGTAATCTATACTGTTTTCCCTCAAAATGAACTTTACAGGGAAGGAAGCCAGAGTTGAAAACGAAAAACTGTAGTGCATGAATCAGAACTCAATTCAAAGAAAACTTACTCGTTAATGTCAAATAGTCATGAGAGTTTTCGAGAAGACTGGCTACCTGGACGTCTGCTCAACTGAATGTGACGGTATCGGTACATCCCTCGAAAACGTATGAGGTACAAATTGTACGATATGCGGATCATCACATTCTATCAATATATGAATACGTATCCTATCATAATGAAATACAACTCGATTGGTACAAACATGTTCACACAAAAAGCTGCCACACACATAAACAGCAGATTAATACTCAATAAAAAACGATCTTAGAGATTTTGATCACATTTAACGATTGTTCAGAAGTGTTAGTGATGAATCTCATAAAACGTAAATTGATTTATTCGATAACACCTACAATATGAACTTTCAGCCAACATACATCGGGAACTCTTTCCCCAACAGCTTGTGGTATGATATTTGGAGTGACGCAGGATGAGCATATGAAAAATGTTACCGAACCGCTCCCAAATATTCAACTTAGTAAACAAGATGAGCTGAGGAAGTATGAAACACGATTGTTTATCAAATTTAACGGCAGCTGTTTGTTTTTTTCAGTAATCAATTTGCGTTCTCGAAAATGAACAACTCTTTTGCACGAATTAGAATTGCATTCAAAGAAAGGTTATTCATTAATATCAATTAATTTTGAGTATTCTAGAGATGATTGGTTACCTCGATGTTTACTCATGTGAATCTTATGATTCCTGTACATTCTTCGAACACATGTGAGATGTGCATTGCATGATGATGTTACCAAACCGTTCCCAAACATTCAACGCGTCAACAAGATAAGCTGAGGAAGTATGAAACATCATTTATCAAAATTACCATTCATGTTTCCGCATCTAAATCACTGAAGGATGATGTTGCGATAAACCGGTGATCTCTTGTTTATTATTTGCGGTTTTCTTGTATGTCTCTCTATAGTGCTTTGCATATCGTGTGTTCTCTGGCCACCATTGGCAATCCGTAACCATTGCTTCGTAATAAGCTAACCTCAATGACTATATTAGTAGCTCAGTGTAGTTATATCAGTTCTCTATATTAGTCAGTTAGTGTGTTGCTCGTATATCCAGTGTTGTCGTTGTGTATGAGCCATCATCGGCATCTTTCGTCACTCAACCGTCAGTGTACCTTTACTGAACTCAGCCATTATTGTCGTCTTTATTTATTGTGTGGATAAACTATATTACTAATTGTCGCCTTCGCACCAGTAACACAGCTAACATCACAAACAGTGCCGATCAGCAACACAAACAATCACACCTTCAGTTCCATTTATTTACTAATAAACAGCAAAAAATTACATCCATTACAACATACTTGGCATGTTCAAATTCCTCAATCAATTCGTTGCCATCAGCTATGTTCTGGTGCCAGCGCGGAAATTTTTCGCCACTACATTAATAAACATATGACAATTATCTACAGGACAATCAGTATTTATCACGAATTCCCAACAATATGAAAAGATGGGCTACAAAAAGAAAGATCGAAGTGAAATAGTTCATTTATTACAATCAGCGATGTTCGGACAAAGAAAACGCAATAATCCTATCGCGAATAATCTAACATTTTGATAGCGAAAAGAAAGAAGGAAAAAAATGAGAAAGAGTGCAGGTCAACACGGATGATTCACACAACATCGTAAATACATCGACCCCTTCGCTCGCAAATCATGTTGAAAATTCAATTTGGAAAGCGAAAAACTAAAAAAAGACAGACCCAGGCGTAAATAAACTCCTCAGAGCATCCCTTCCGTGAATGCTTTTACCTCATTCTTACATCCGACCACACCTTTGAGTTCCATGGATATTACCTAAGCAAACTGCGAAATTTAATGAGGACGATAACCGCTATTTTAAGGCGACGACGAGGAATATTGTGCAAATGGAATGATGAATTATCGTCCGGTTGCTTGCTTTCCTCAGCGTTATTCTGAACAGCACATCAAAAATGTTCTAGTGCATTTAAAATGTCGACGCCGTGGAAGGCAATCGGGTGATTAAGATTTACTGCAAGATGAACAGCACTACGTCAAGTTCTACAAAATTTTCACTTTCACGGTTTCGTTAGTTTGTAAACCGGTTACAGAAAAGAGCCAAAGGTAGCAGGAAAAACGACTGGCAACGATTCAACTCCCGCTGACTCCAACGGACTGCTGAGCGACCTGATAAGAACACATATCAAACCACGGAAAAGTATTTGAGAAGACAGAGGCCAGTTGAAACCAGGAGCAACAATATCACTTCAACAATAGAAAAAACGAGAAAACCGCTAATTAATAATACCTCATACTCTCTGAGTCGCCTATAATGAGAAGACGACAACAGCCTGACACGATATGAAACGAAAATTGTCCTGTCGAAAGTTCCCTGCCATGGAATTTGACGATTACGTGATGTTATCCATTACGACCCGACTGGCCTGACGCTGATTGTCCGCGACTGCTTATTCAACGTATTCGCAGCTGACCGCTTGCAAGCGGCCACTCCCCTATCCGCAACCTGGGGACGCGCTAGCTGGCATTCAGCTCTGCACACTAGTAATTGCCATCGAACAATGTACAATTAATGGCATTTGTGAATTCGTTCCCAAAAACCGTATGGGTGTTTTACATCGATTGAACGAATGTATGTAGCATGACATACGAACTATATGAATTTTCATAAACCGGTTCTTGAAACCGATATATTCATATGACGCAAGCTCGTTTCATCAGTAGTTCTCATCCCATAGAACAAAACTGAGCTGCATCATTTTTGATTGAATGACGATTGAACCTATTTTCAAAACAAGCCATGATCCCATAACTCTATGTATGTTGCAGACACCGTGTGATTATCCCGCTGCACTTATTCACATCACAGGAGAATATGTGTTTGAAGAAGTAAGATAAATTGAGATGCTTGGACGCTTCCGAGATGATGACCAAGACGAAGGAGAGCAATACCAAACCTCTTTCAGAGTAGCATAGTGAAGTCGATCCAACTGCCGTTTTGTTGAACTGCGATGGTGATGTGCTATCGCAACACCGTGGGGTACCTCGCCACAAATGCAGCAAAAACAGCAGATACACGTTGCGACAATACAAAACAATTTCAGGAATTAGATGATGGTTGCTACTGGCAGCTAAGTCGCCAACTAAATAGTATCGCAACCGCTGCGAAGAATGACGCGAATTGTTGCCGTGACGCCGTGAGCGGCACCTAATAAAAGAGGCGGGAAACAGGAATCTTATGCGCACCGCCCTTATCAAGCGTTTCAAGAAAGAAACAACAAGAAGCTTCGACAGCTGCGCCGCAACATGATTAACGTCAGGAACCCAGTGAAGGTGAAGGTGACTTGATGACGCGATCTGGCTCGTCGCAAGTAATCTCAGGGGCGGCGTGGAGGGAGGCGGAGAATGAATGCCTCCGTGAGCCGACCCGCAACGTGATTAGAATCATGATCGCAGTGCAATGCGCCGTAATTTAGCGCTGCGACACCATGAGCGGCTCCATACCTCCGACGTAGCCATGAGAGCCGACAGATAATAAGAATCGCTAAGATCTAGATCAGGACTCAATAAAAATGCGGTCACGGTGGAGGGCAACGCGATCGGATACCACAATCTCCCAACAAACACCTGACCTCCAAGGCGGCGTGGAGAGCGGATGGATGATGGATGCCTCTGGGAATTGGTTCGGGACGGGAATGAAATGGCGGTCTCAGTGGAGTCAACCTGATTTGGCGTCGCAAACCAGTAAGTAGCAATTAAGTTTGGAGGCGGCCAGAACGACAGACAAATGATGAAGACCTCCTGGATCTTGGTCGGGACGCAATGAAAACCACGGTCCCGGCGAAAGGCAATACAACTTGTTGCCATAACCACGTGAGCCGCAACTAATATTCAAGGCGGTACGGAGGGAAGATGGATAATGGAAGCCTCCGGAAACTGGGCCGCGACGTGATTAGAACCGCGGTCCCAGAGGAGGACGACATGATTTGGCGCTGGGAAATAGTGAGCGACAACTAACCTTCGAGGCGGCGTGGAGGGCAGACGGATAATGGAACCCCCGGGAGCTGGGCCGCGACGTGATTAGAACCGCGGTCCCAGAGGGGGGCGACATGATTTGGCGCTGGGAAATAGTGAGCGACAACTAACCTTCGAGGCGGCGTGGAGGGCAGACGGATAATGGAAGCCTCCGGGAGCTGGACCGCGACGTGATTGGAACCGCGCTCCCAGAAGAGGGCGACATGATTTGGCGCTGGGAAATAGTGAGCGACAACTAACCTTCGAGGTGGCGTGGAGGGCAGACGGATAATGCATGCTTACGGGAACTGGGATGTGACGTGATTAGAATCACGTCCCAGCGGAGGGCGACATGATTTCTGCCCAGGCCATATATGGCGGGCCTATCCCCGGAGGCGGCAAGGAGAACAGAGGAATAGCTTGTGCCTATGGGCCATAACAGTACTAACGGTAAGCATAGAGTCCCAGCACAAAGCGACTTTCGTGCGATATCTCGCTTAAATTATCGAACGGTGATAAAGAGAATGAGTTACCCCTAGTGTTCAAAAAACGTAAATTCTGCCTCACATTCAGGATTTGTTTTCAAGAATCGAATGAGATTTTGATGAGAACAGTATAATGAATCATAACAAACACGGACAAATCAGCAATTATGACATATGAACTCGATAAAATTATGATATAAGCGAAACAAAAAAAAGTTACAAGGAGAACGAGTACTAGTTCTAATGAGCATTGATTACCGAGTACGATGCATGGTTCATAGATTTAAAACAAACACTTTCAAATGAGGAAAATGAAGAAACAAATGAGGAAAACTAAATGAACATCAAGTACCCTAAAACGTGGCAAAGCTATTTTCTGCTCTCATTTCTACTACTGCTTCATCATGATACTAAATTATTTTTCTCATCATTATTACTCATTCCGCCTCGGGAACTACCAACTTCCGAATGGTTTTTCTCGCAAACGCTCATGCTCATTCAGCACTCACAATGGCTGAGTGAAATTTCGAACGAATGAAAAAGAAATGCAGAACATCGGTCCTTCACGATTCCATTGAAAAAAATAGGTCTGTGTGTCTAGTTCGCATATATCCGCCTCACTGTTCACAAATTTTGGTCATGAAGGAAGTGGTGATACGACGAAATTATCGATCTTCACTAATTTTGCATGTAATTACTAACTGAACGAATTTGTGATGATATCTCACGAGCTATTTTACTAGCCCTATATTTTCATGAAAGTCTTTGATTGATTCCTAGAAGCTTAGAAGACGAACGAAATATTTTCAACAATGAAAATTTTGAATTCATGTATCTGACGCTTGCGGGTGACTTGATGGTTGCCAGAATTAATCAGACCAATAACAGCAACACAAGTGAAAAAATAGAGTCACAACATATTGGTGGAATGCAATCAAACCTGAGTGTACACACACTGCATAGTATGCTCTTCCTATGCATACCACTGATTATGTCTACCAAAGTAACACTTCGAAATTTTGATATCTCCTTACACGCTGAGTGAAAAAAAATAGACTGTTCAAATCTTTCAATAGTGCGTATGGGAGGGCTCCATACAATTTAATTATGTTTTGTTTATACTTCATAACATCCTCGAAAACTGTGCAGTGTGCATACGAAGGCCTCTAGTAATTCTCATCTTGCGTTGCATAATCATATTCGCATTGTTCCATTTTCTTGAGATCTCACATCACTAAGAATAAGAATTTTCCGTTATTCTACCATCGAGTCCCCTACAAAACCACTGCGGCGATCGGATTCTCACTTCTCATTCATATGAAAATTGTTTAAACATCGATAGTGCTCACTGACACATCGCAAAGTGACGAATTTCTGTTCCTTCCCTGGAAATAAATATCAGTCAGCATTTTGCTCCAAATGAGGACGAACTTATGTGAAATAGGTTAGATGGTGGACAATCATTAAAACATGTTGAAAAAATTCTTTTGTCCAAATGCTACTAAGAACTTCAGCACCAAAAGATCACGAATTGATTGCTGGACAACTGAGGATGTCATCTCGTCCGTGACAATTTCGCTTGATAAATCATCATATGAAGCACAGGTGTATGCATCGCGTGTAGGACATAAACTATTGAACAAAATTTTCTAAGCTATTGAAAGAACACCCACTCTGAAGTGCTGGTGTATGATTGCTCCCACTTAATAACTTTTCATGGAGAAAACATACATAACATGCGAGAGACAATGCACCACCATGTCAGCGAACATCCAGGATCGTCGATTTACCACAATCACATCTTCCGCCCTATTTGTTCACAATGTTACGGTGTAAATACATATACCTCTCCTTTGTTCGTAACGAAAAACTTTCTCAATATCATTCGGCATTCCCCGGCCAGCATCAAGCGAGGTAGATGAGAACATTGAAGGTTTATTGGTTGCTGAAAATATCATTTATAAACGGGGGAGGAAACGAATGGGAAGGACGAACAACATTAAATCACAATACTGTTTGGATTAGGACAGCAAGAAAATCATGCGAAGAAGTGAATACACGGAACAGTTGTGAAAAACGAACCAATGTCCAAAAAAAGTAGCAGATATCTGATGTAAGACTGCCCTCAAAACGATCACGCGACACACACCGTATTGATGGGAATCAGATTGCCGGACTCTCCGAAAAGCTCACCTCTTGTTTGCAATATGGGTATGAAGCATACTACCAAAAGAAGACGGATTCAGTGCAGAGCACAAGCATCAGTCGTGGATCAAACTGAAATGGAGAAAATGGTCAGTGAATTGAAAAAAAACAACATGGATATGTGGTCAGCTATTCAAAACTCAATCTAATCTGTAAGCAAATCGGCAGCATGAAAACGCAAGAGTTAAGAAAGAAAGAGAAGGTGTCATGATGATAAGCTAAGAACTACCTCTGACTGCCAACGAGCTTTAATCAACACCCAAATTCCATCATCACGCAATCTGCAGACCGAACCACCAAATTCAGAGCTGCCACCTCGGTATCCCACCATGCCGTCACTATGATCTGCATTCTTCAAGAGCTCACAACGATAAATCATACCCTTCATCACAAGGGCCGCGTAAATAATCACGACGAGTCGCGGCTTCTGGAGGTACTTATTATTTGGCAACCTTCTACGCCACCTTCGAGGCCAGCAGCGACTCGGGTTGTCCAATCTCTCCCTCTCCAAAAATGATCGCAATTCCAATCACCATGGCGACCACTCTCCTAAGGTCACCACTGTTCATCAACCTTCATGGCATTAGGCTTGCGACACTAGATTAAGTCGTCATCCGTCAGGATTGCGATTTTCATCCTGTCGCGGCCGACATCAAATAGGCATCTACAATCCACCTACCCTCCTCGCCAGTTAACAGGCCAGCGCAACTTACGGGGTTGTAACAACAAATCACGCCGCCCTCCGCTGAGGCCGCTAATTTCATCAGAGACCAGTTCCCGGAACCGCTCATTACTTGCCGATCCACCTCTGAGGTCAGGTGCTGCTGTTGATCTCGCGACAATAATTCACTGAGCATTGCGTTCGAACTGCAATTCAAACCGCGTCGTGGACCATCCCATAGACCTCCGTTTTTTCGCCAATCTCGCCGCCTTTCAGTTCAACTGCAGCTTACTGGTTCGTGAGACCAAATCACGTCGCTCTCAATCAGGACCGTCACTTGCTCACGTCCCGACCGAGCTCCCGGAGATATAAATTACCAGTCTTCCCTCCACGCCGCCTCGAATGTTACGTGCGACTCACGTTATCGAGATAAAAATTACGCTACCTTCCTACCGGACCGCGACTCTTATCATGTCGTGATCCAGCTCCCGTACACTTCCATTATCGGTCTGCCCTCCACGCCGCCTCGAAGCTTAGTGGTCCTCCACTATTTCCCAGCTCCAAATCATGTCGCCCTCCTCTGGGACCGCGGTTCCAATCACGTCGCGGCCCAGCTCCCGGAGGCACCATTATTTGTCTGCCCTCCGCGCCGCCTCGGAGGTTAGGCGCCGCATACTATTTTACGACACCAAATAATGTCGCCCTCCTCTGGGACCGCGGCTCTAATCACGTCGCGGCCCAGCTCCCGGGGGTTCCATTATCCGTCTGCCCTCCGCGCCTCCTCGAAGGTTAGCTGTCGCTCACTATTTCCCAGCGCCAAATCATGTCGCCCCCTCTGGGACCGCGGTTCTAATCACGTCGCGGCCCAGCTCCCGGAGGCTTCCATTATTCGTCCGCCCTCCGTGCCGCCTCAAATGTTGGTTGCTGATTACATAATCGTGGCAACAAATTATGTTGCCCTCTGCTGCAGACATGGTTTTTATCGCATCCCGGACCAGCTCCCGGAGGCCCCATCATTCGTCTGCCCTTCTGGCCGCCTCGGAAATTAGGTGCCGCCAACTGGTTTGCGACTCCAAATCACGTCACCCCCATTGAGACGGTTATTTTATACCCATCCCGGCCCAAATCCGGAAGTTATCGACCATACGACCTTTCCTGCACGCCACTTTGGAGGTCAGGTGCTGCTCGCGAAATTTCGGCATCCGATCACGTCACCCTGCATTGGGTCCGCGCTTTTTATTGTGTCCTGGTCCATGTCCCAGCCGTCGTCATTATTTGTCGGCCCTCTGGCTGCATTTGAGGTAAGTGGCCGGCCATAGGCTCGCGATGTTGAGTTACAGCATATTGTACTACGGTCGCGGTTTTAACCGTCGTGGCCCAGCTGCAGGAGGTATTTGTCATCCTCCTGTCCTCCGCACCGCCAGTGAAATTATTTGCCAGCTGCAGGTTCGCGAGATCATATCACATTCCCTCCCACTGAATTCATGGCGTTAATCCTGTCGCAGGCCGTCTGTCAGAGGTATTCGCCGCTTTCCTTCTTGGATCGCTCGTCATGATGGTGAGTGTAATTGCACTGGTCCTCGGCTTCATGGTTAAGTGTCGCTTGCGTAGTCGCAACAGCAGACCATGTCGTCATCCGCTAAGACGACGAACTTAATCGTTTCGCGACTCTGTTCCAAACTACACTCGTTATTCGGTTCATCGAATCGACCGGTACAGTCGCCGTAAGTTTCTGCCGTCTTCGCCGTCTATGAAGTCAGGTAACATTCGGGGAGTGGCAGAACCACATGGCAACTGCCTTTCATTTGAACTGCCGTGTGAACAACGGAACTTTGCAACTCTGAAAAGCCTTCGATAGTGGCATTCCACATATTCACCAGCTTCTTGGGGTCGCCTATGCAACCATTTTTCTTTCTTTTTCGTACGCGCCTTCTACGGAGTTTTGAAGAGGTATAGCGAATGGTTCATATGGTGATCACATCACCTACGGAGGGATGAGATCATGCAACATTTTCATAAATGCTGCAATAGTTATTCCACCGAAACTGAAACTAGCTCTACTCGACAGGCTGCGAAGAGCTGATGATGCGAAGTTACATCAGATGAATATGTCAGTATCAACAGTCGTTTTAGAAAAATTCATATAGTTCATTTGTCGTATTACATGCATATGTTGAAGCAATATAGAACAACCACACAGTTCCAGGGAACGAATTCACAAATAGCATTAATTGTACATGGTTTGATGGCAATTGGTTACATTCGTGAGGTTTATGAAGAATCCACTTTTCGGTTTCATTACCAACCTAAGCAATATCAGCTCATTCTGACCTAGCATACAAGAATACAGTGAATCATTAAAATATGAAATGATTCCAAAATAAGGTTGTCATTAAGATGAGCACAAATAATAAATTGTTCAAACATTGTGCACCATTGAAAGCTTACTTCCCAAAGTAGCACAATTCAGAAATTAGTCCGCACTGTATTTCAAAAGGACGGTGTAGATGAGGATCCCAATATTCGTATAAGAGGGCATTCAGAAATCTCGAATGCAAATACCTCATGTCGGCATCAACTACAGCAAGGCAGAAGATGCTTACCGGATTCATTTTATGCCAGAGTGATGCATAAAACATGGAAGATTAATAGGATTCGCTCAAGCAATGGCAATAATTTAATGCGCTCAGTTGAATGGAGAACAGAGGGTGAAGAAAATGAAGTAGAACTTCCCTTCATCGGACTGCTACAATTCAGATGACATCTAATCAGACAGTCGAGATGTCCTCTACCACATCCGGAAGTGATGGCAAGGTGCAAGATGATCTTGATGAATTTAGCACCAGTGCAGTCAGCACTTCGTACCTCAGCGATGAAATATTTTCATTCGATATGCATAGATGTTGTATGTGGAGCAGCGCATTGTACAGAACTGAACAGTGTAAAATGAGGAAGCTAAGGTAGAATGGATGCATTCAGGTTGTGAAGAAGATGGGTAGATTAAAAGTTGAATGAAAGGAACATTTTCGAAATAACGAGTAACGCTAACATATTGATAGATTGCGTAGCAGTAATGAGGTAGAAATCATAGTAACATCAACATTACAAGAGCTGANCTTTAGCGTGAAACGAATATCGCAAGTTGGAATGGATGCGTTGGATATAGCCCTCAGCATGTAAGACATTCGACAGATGAACACTCAACAATCAATACGCATACGCTTTCCATTCCGTAAAGCGTGTTGGAAGTGCGTCAGCGAATTGTTCGGTGTACACAAGGTCGCTTGAATGAATACGGCTCGAAATCCATCAATAATTCGCTGTGAGCGATGCAATGCTCGCAATGAATGAGAAATTGAGAGTGAGAGCAACTGCTGAGTCATTCATTCATAACATTCTACAATTGCATGATGTTAAAGATGAAGCAAATGAAAAGCGTTGAAGTATAGTGATACTATTTCACAGTCATCAAGACATTAAACAATCACAGGCTAAAATATTCTGTTCCACTAAGTGCGTTTGTCTGAAGGTATTTCAAGACTAAAAATTAATTTCATCGTTCCGAAGAAATGGATTTGCAAATTTTCACAAGAGTAAATAGCGACAATGACGAATCGGAAATCATATAAAGTAGACTGTCGATTTCCCAACGCGAGCGAGTAACGTGTGATTACAAAGGTGACTGAAAGCTCATGTCAAATTTCATAAATATTTATATTCAAACCAAGTGAGCCTGAATAAGAGAGCTCTTCTGAAACTAAAGGAGGCTGCAAGAAAATAAGAAAGAATATTTTACTTCCAATCGACGTAGAGCAAAACAAATCACGATAGAGTGAATTGCTCTCTTTCATTGGAAAACATTCAGTTGCGTAGTTCATTGAAAAAAAACCATGAGAAATATATGCAGTGACTTAAGATGCGGCGAGCACTTCAGTCAATCAAACACATTGTATTCAACATGTTGCTGTGAACCATATCATCAGTATAAGATATTGCACTTCTTATTTTCAATAGCTTAGAATTCCTCTCGTCTCATCCCTGAGAAGCCACGCAATATTTCGACTGCAAACAGCAATTGAACATTCGTTGGAAAAATATCGGCTGAAATGCCGCTACATCATTCTGCTGTTCGTTTAATATTAAGATGTGAAAATGCGCAGTACACATGCCGCAACCGTTCGAACTATTCTTCCATCAACGGGTTTTCGTCGATGTTGTTTGTTTCCAGTAGAAAACTCACTTCCATTGATGATGAAAATGAGAAGATTCAAAAATTCATATTTGCCGCTTCACGGCACATGAGGCGAAAAAATGTGGATCTAACAACTTTTCAAACGAATTTTCTTCTTCCAAAGTATTGCTTAAGCTATTTTAAAACCAAAACATACGGTTCGTGAAGTGAAGCAAGAGTTTTTGGCCTCATGTGAAATTCCGCAATATCTAAAACAAGGAGCACCCTGGTATGAACAAACGACTTCATAAGGACGATCACACAAAATTTTTTATTAAGTCTATTAACAACAACCGAATTTCATGACGAAAATGAATAAAAATAATGTTCTCACTAGGAAGAGCACAACTCTATAAACAATTGTTTCAACTGTGAACCATTAGTCATGTTGTGCAATATGTCAAAACCAAAACTGACACTAAGTCTAGAACTGAAACTACATCAAGAAGATCGAACAGAATCTAGTCACTGATTGCTATATCAGCCGTTTTGTACCATTTTATGTGCTTCAGTTTTTGTCGCTTTGAATTTCGGAAGTGGACTGTATGGATGACGGCATCGACTGTTTCGCACACGAATCAGCGCATTTCGATTCCCTAACCGGTAACATGGGAACATATTCCATTTTATCACATGAATACTGAGGTCCACGAATCTGAAATTATTGTGAGCACGTGGAAGTAAAAACTTTTGCCGCTGTGTAAGCTGAAGGAATGATCAGGTTGCTTCTGAACCAGAAAATTTGTCATATATCCTTTTAGAAGGTTTTTTGTAAATAATTTCAGCACTTTTTTGTTCCGCTAAAGTTCATTCGTGAATCTGTTCATCAATTGTTCGCGTAAATCTAGGCTATCCAATAGACTCACTAATTGACAAGTGAAAACAACCAAAAAAATGCTGATCGCAGAACCGAGTCCAATGCCAATTATCACGAAATTGATCACATCCGTTGAGGAGAGGCGAGAAAGCTCCTCCGTGATGCTATCACCCTCAATTTCAAATACTTTCAGTAACGTAAATTTTCTGAAATAGAAATAATAGCTACTCCTCATGACTTTTCTACGTTTGGCACTCATTGATTTTCATTACGTTACATGTCAGCAAAGGTTTCCTTCCAATAGGAAAGTTCCTGAAAACTCCTAATTTCTGCAGCTTTATGTGGACTGACCAGAACCATTAGAGGACCGACAAAAATGGAAAAACATCAGGAACATTATGCCGAAAGCCTTTGCAAAATAAGATTCGAGATATTCTTGTTCTTTTGGCTGCGTCG